CTTATAGTTATGTTTATTAATGTCAATTTCTCAGGCTTGGTTGTCTTCTCACAAGAAAAAGCAACGCCCACTGTCCGCCAATTCTGATGCTGTGCTGGTTTTTGGTTCCTTCAATTGGTTCAAAATTAAACCCTGGAAATTTACTTAAATCTCTTTTGTCTCGGGCATTGGCTACTGTTTTTATGCTTCATCTTGCCTTGTCGACAGGTTTAATTCCTTCTCATTCGCTAAATCACTTACCTTTCATGTATTCTTCAACTCCTTTTTTAAACTTTTTTCTTTTAGCGGGTTGAAGCATGTACGATAGGTTTTATTTGTTTTGTTTTACGAGGTATAATCTCCTTTTTTAATAATTGAATTTGTCTTTCGGCTACTTCCTCTTCATAACTTCTTTGCAGATTTAGTCAAAGTTCTACACTTGTATCAAAGTATAAGGATAGTCGTGCTGCTAAATCAGGAGTGATATCGGCTCTTTCCTCACATATTCATTTAATTTGTTCTTTGGGAACTTTAATTGCCTGGGCTAGTTCTTGGGGGCTAATATCTTGAGGTATTAATAACCCTTCTCTCAATATAGTGCCAGGATGAATAGGTTTGACAATAAATTCCTCCTCTTTAATAACTTCTTTGTTTCTTGATACCTTTTCGTTATTTTGTACTTTCATTGTGGCAATCGGTTTTTGGATTTTTTGGATATTATTTACTGTCTTCATTAACTAATTTACTCGTTAACTTTTCATCTCGACATAGGTGGTGTATACGACATGCGTATACCCATATCTATAATTTTATGTATTTATGTAAGTTTCAAAAGCGGACAGGAATTTTGCATTATGTAGTAAATAAAAGAAAAGAAATAAAAGTGGAACATAGGAGAGAAGTTTATTAATACTCCTCCCCTTATTTCCTAAATAGTTGAATTATTTTTTTAATGTTTTTTTACTTTTTCTCAAAAATAAACCAATTCCTACTCCGATTATTAGCACTACCACCCCTCCTCCAATTAAGAGAGCATTATTCAACTCTGGGGACTTTTTGGTTGATGCAACCCGGTTATTTTCTTTACTGAAAATTTTGTTTAATTCTTGCTGACTTAAACTAGTTTGGTTATTTTTCCTCAAATAATTCTTAACTGCCGAAAGTTCTTGGTTATTAGTGATCTGCTCAGAAACTACCGTTTGCCTTTTTTCACTCTGATTAAACTCAATTACCAAATTATCACCTACTAAACTAATTTTCTTAATATCTTTTAGATTAATGACTGGTGTTTGGTTATTACCTTTTTCAGTTTCATTCTGCAGCTTCTCTCTAGGATTATCTTTCGACTCTCCAACTGGTTTTGGAGAGATTTTAATTTCAGACGAGTTTTTTGGTTCTGAACTAGATGGAGGAGCATTAACCGAACCTACTGAATTATCATTTTTGTCATTTGAATTAGTTATCGGTTGAGGAGTCGAAGCTGCCGGATTAGATTTAGGAGAGTTGTCTTGGTTGTCGTTATTATCTTTTTTCACTATTTTATAATCTCTCAAAACTAACTCTCTGCATCAATTAATATCTCCAAACATTTTTTTCAAAAACTCTTCTGCCATTAAGCACGGAACCAATTGTGGGTTATCAGAAACTAATTTTCCGTTTTCAATCCTTCATCAACTATTATTAGGAACTCAACCAAACATTTCACCTTCCTTACCTCTTAAACCCCCTAAATATTTTCCGAGTTTCATATTCTCTATTAATCGTTCACCTTCGCGTTCTCGTTCGGAACTAGAAAGAGAGTTTCAATAATCCTGGGCTTTTTCATAGGCTCGCTTGTAGTTCTCAAAATTATACCATTCTCTTTTCGCCTGGGGATTGAACATTACCCCATCAACTTTTCAGTATTCGCGGTCATCATAATAGCGAAAAGTCTCAAAACCTCTTTTGGCACGACAATCAAGACAAAATGCTATGTCTCATCCACCGCTCGGATTATCATTATCTACTAGATGATGAGAAGGCATTCCATAATCTTCCTCTACTTCTCATTTGCCGCCATTTTTGCGATAAACATCTCATTTTTCTTTCTTCCCACAATGATAGCAAGAAGCACATTTGTGGCACAGTTCCTCGTTATTGCGACCTCTGTAAGCACTAACAACTTTTCCATCTCCACGCCTCAACTGGGCTGGTTTAGAGCAGCCTCCACACTTTACAACATTTGGATCTAAATTATATTTATTGTATTTTATGTTCATAGTTATATTTCTAAATATTTTACTTTGGCTAGATTTTACCAGTTCTAGCCACCTGGACTAATTACTTTTAGATTAATGTTCTAATTAGTGGCAATTAGTAAGAAATCAGATTAGAACATTTTTTTTACCTCTTTTTTTGGGAGAAAAAACCTGTTAAGGATTACTCACTTAGCAAAAAAAAAAAAAAAACAATCATTTTTTACTTTCTTTTTCCGGATCAAAGGAAGTGGGAGAAAGGTTAAAACTTTCTAACCTTACTGTTTAAATAAAAACCCTTATTCAACTTTTTTGCTACTTCTTAGTCATCAAATATAATTTTATAAACTTTGGCGGTTGAACTTGTCATCTTTAATATAGATTTATTCTCTATATAGTATTTTTATATTATATGGTTTTGGTTTTCAAGGGATAGGATATTTTTGTTTTACAATGTTTAAGAACAGTTAAATTTGGATTATTTTGTCTCAATTTTAATAGTTTGCTCGTTGTCTCTCTCGATTTTTTTTATTTTTATCTAAGTAGGTTTTTTCAATTTCTGCTTCGCTTTTCATTCCTAATCTTTGGCATAGTTCTTCAAAAATTATTAGTCAGCGGTAGAAATGTTCTTTTTCAGGGATATATCATAATGGCATCATTCTTTCTGTTTCGAAAAAAAGTTCGAAAAGGAGTTTATTAAACCTAATTATTGAGGGAGGAGATAAATCGTAGGGTATAAGGTTATCTTTTTTCTCAGAGAACCTTTCCGAAAACTCACTATAATTAGAAAAATCGATATGAAAATCATTGGTGAAACTTAGATAAAAATGAAAGCAATCAATTAATTCCTCTTTAGCTTTTTCTCAGTTAACATCTTTTTGGTTCTTTCAATGCTTAAAAGTTGCTAGTTCATTAGCTAATTCACCAACTTCCACTAACAAAGCAACCTTAGTGCGGATAAAACTATTTTCACTTTTAATATCAGTTAAGTTTTTTTTCCGAACAATAAATTCATCTAATTCTCTTTGCTCGGTTTGTAATCTTTGGAGGGTTTGGGGGGTTAGCATAATTATATCATAAATATTTTAATAATATTCTTCTTGATGAAGTTTTCTTTTGATCTCTTTTTCTCTAACTTCTTCTTTTATTTGGTATTTTCGCAAATGCTGAGCCAGGGCAATTTCTAATTTAGCCCACCCTCTATTAGTGATAAAAAGTTGAAGCGGAATAAGCACGTAATTTTTGGCTTTCATCCGACCAATTATCTTGTTTATTTCCCTTCTTTTAAGCAGTAATTTCCTTTTTCTTCGGGTGTCAATCTTCGCTAACTCGCTAGCATGAGAATAAGTGGCAATATGCATATTAACCACATATAACTCATTCTGTTGAGATACCACATAAGCCTCACCAATTGAAACTTGATGACTACGAAGAGATTTTATTTCATTGCCAGTTAGTGCCATTCCGGCTACCAGTCTTTCAATTATTTTATAATCCCGAAGATTTTTTTTGGCTTGGGCAATTATTCTGCTTCCCATTGTTTTGTGTATGTTTAAGCAGACCTTAGTTAACCACCAAATAGGTCATTTTGCCTTTTTTATTCAATAATTTTAGTGATGATTCCTTTACCGACTGTTTTTCGACCTTCTCGAATCGAGAAAGTGCTATTAGCCTCCACGGCCACCGGTTGAATTAATTCTACCGTTAAACTCAAGTTATCTCCGGGGTTGACAGTTTTTTTCCCTTCCGGCAACTTAATAGTCCCAGATATATCAGCCGTATAGAAATAAAATTGTGGTTTATAACCCTCTTCAAATTCACTATGACGACCACCTTCATCTTTGGTTAAAGCATAAACTTGAGCTTCGAACTTTTTGTGAACATTAATACTGCCTGGTTTGGACACCGCCATTCCTCTTTCTACCTGTTCCCGTTTAATTCCCTGCAAGAGAAGTGCCGCACTTAAATTTGGTTTAACCACCTTCAATATTTGGTTATGGATTTCGGCACTAGTAACTTTAGTTTTAATTTTTGTTTTCCCCATTCCTAGGATTTCTACCTCATTGCCGGGAATTAGAGTTCCTCTTTCTACTTTGCCAGTTACCACCGTTCCTCGTCCAGTGATAGTAAAAACATCTTCAATATACATTAAGAAAGGCTTATCTTCGTCAAGGAGGGGAGTTGGGATATGTTCATCAATTTTAGCAGTCAATTCTTTAATTTGGCTTTGATAGTAACCAAGTGGTTCGTTTGGTTCAGGGTTTTCTTCTAAGGCTTTTTTAGCAGAACCAAACACAATTGGCGAATTTTTATCAAATCCATACTTTTCTAATAAACCTTTGATATCTTCTTTTACTAATTCTAGCATTTCATCATCAGTCACCAAATCAATTTTATTAGCAAAAATAACTAACTTATCTACTCCAACTTGCTTTGCGAGAAGAAGATGCTCTCTAGTTTGTTCTTGCTGACCTTGACTGGCATCAATTACTAAAACTCCTCCATTAGCTTGGGCAGCACCGGTAATCATGTTTTTAATATAATCCGCGTGTCCTGGACAATCAATTAAAGTGTAATGCCTAGCATCAGTTTCAAATTCATTTTGAGCAACGCTGATCGTAATCCCCCGAGCTTTTTCTTCGGGTGCTTTGTCAATCTCATCATATTTCCGAAACTTGGCTTTATTTTCTCTTGCTAAAACATAAGTAATTGCCGAAGTC